TCGCTTGGAACTCAATTCCCGCGCGTGCGCAGGTGCCGACCCTCCCGCTTTAATGCATATATTTTACTCGGTCATCGCGAATGTTTTTTGAACAAAGTCACAGGATGTGTACTAAATGCGATTTATTTTATCCACCGGAAATACGTTGATACGCAATGCATACTAGTATATCACGTGTTACATTAAATTAAGAAATCGTCTTACCTGCTCAATGTTGTAATCTGCTAAACTAGAAGCCGGGTAACAACTAAAAGCACCCGGTGCGTCATCTAAACCTGGAAGATTGTCATTTGATTGGCCAGTTAATGGCACGTGACTACTCGCGGTGTCGACAATTTCAGCGCCTGATTCGGTAGTACGATTACTGCTCAATATAGCAAGACCGGATGTGTTTACGGATATGTTTGTGTTTGGCATTATAACCCCTTTCATACTGTAATTGGTTTTTGACGCTGTAGTTTTTTCCACCGGTCTATTCGAGGTGTAATTATTCTGTAAATGACAGTGTTCCCTGTAGTCATGGATACGGGTGATGGGTGATGAATTGAATACTTGTCACTTAATTTGTTGAGATATTTAATGTTGGGCGTTGAATTGTCAGTTTTCATTGGTGACGTCACAACAAATGGAGCAAATACTGCATTATCTATGGGGTTACCAAAATTCCTAGATCCGTAAGACGCGAACATCTTTGTATTCTTGGTTGACTCAGTCTCTACATGTATAGGAACTTTGATATGCTGCCCCTTGTGTACGCGCATGTCAGTGCAGTTCGGGTTATCACGCAGTCCCACCGGGGGCGTAACCAACCCTTGTTTATCGTTAAACGGCGCCATCACGTGTACCACGTTCATTACTGTTCCTCCCTTCTCATTGGCTCTCACAGTTTGCCTTGGTTTCTCGCCATACTGTATAGTATCCACTACACTGACACTATCGAACGCTCCTGAAAAGAAAGTACGAGTAATTTGATTGGTAATTACTTAAATTTGAATACTCAAAACAAATAATGAACATGTAATAACAGAATCACATGTCACTGCATTTCCTACCCACAGGCATTGCTGTTGGTTAAATCGGGGGAGTCGTCACCTGCGCATGCGTCAGATGGCCATAGCGTGTCACTATTTACAAACAAGCGTCTACACATGAGCCTTTGCGCTTTTAGCGTGTGTTGCTATCGTCGCTTGGGACTCAATTCCCGCGCGTGCGCAGGTGACGACCCTCCCGCTTTAATGGTAATTACTACTAATTGAATATCCATACTGTTAGTTGAACACCGTTCCTGGTGGTTAGATATAATTATGCTTGATAAATACAATTTCTATTTGTTGGTAGTTCGATACGATTACTGTTAATTGACCATAATTACAGTAGGTTGATATAATTACTGCCAGTTATGTACGATTACTGGTAGTTAGAACCAATTACTGTTAGTTGAACATCATTACTGCTGTTTAGATACAATTATTATTTGATTGATGCAATGACTACCAGTAAGATACGATTCCTGTTAGTTTAGTATAATCACTTATAGTTGATATAATACAGCTAGTTACACATAATTACTTCTAATTAGATAAATCAGTGCAGGGGAACAAAATAATGATGAAATCTTTACCTTCTGCAGACGTGTCTGGAAATATACAATGACCAAGACTAGAATTGTCACTATATATGAACTGGAACGACGAAGTTTCACTGAAATGGAATGAAAATATTTAAGAGAGTAAATAAAAGATACAAACTATTACCGCATATTTACATTATGTCAAATGGGAAATAGAAAGGAATTACAAAGCATTTACTAAAATGTAATAACACGTGATTCACATCTTGTATAATACATATTGGTCGCTTATACATGTTTTAATTAGGCTGCTGTCAATAAAAGGGATCATATAAGTTATCAAGACAGGCTTAAACAGTGGTCGATTGTTGTATTGCTATTATATATGGGTCTGGTAGGTATGCTACGAGTATGTATAGAAATCTGTTGATTGGTGTGTTTGGTTTACGGTAAATGCCGATAATTATTTGTTGTTGCCGACAATGTCTGTATGTCCTTATGAAGAGAGATTCGCATTTTGCAATAGTAATTGAGCCAATATATGTACCACCCTATCCCTGCGACGTGTAGGAAGGAAAATTATACTGTAAAATGACTAATTTTCACATGGTTTAAATTTCACTGATTTACCATTTCAGGCATATTCAGTGGGTTTTAAATTCACGGTTTCGTCATTTAGATAATGTGTTCTATGCTAAATTTTACATATTCACTGTGTTTTAATTTAGCGCAATTTTCCAGTCAGCGAAATAAGCTAAATTAAAACACAGTGAATAATTAACCCCTTTACAGTATTACGACTTACAAATACCGGCATTTAACCATATGACACTAACACCTATCTAAAACTAAGAATTTTAATTCAATAGATGTATCGTTTAAGTTGTTACCTTTGGTATATGACTCCCGGATGCGATATAAATTGGGCCCATTTTAAAGTTTTTATTATCGCTTGGTAAGATTTTAATAGTGGCGTGAGGAAACGAACAAAGTGGTCATCATCATGTATGGTATAATGTTTTAACACGACCACAATTCTCAGTAATAATGTTTGTACTTCTGGTTTCGTCACGCTCTATGCTGTGTCGTATATATTCAGTCTAAGGTCATACGAGGCAGTCAACCACACGTCGCGTAATAACCACTCGAGACTTACACACACGTCGTGTGTAAATATAATGACATAATTGGCAAAATGGTTATCTT